CATGTTAATTTGTAATCACTCTACAGGTCGCAATTATGGCCCGATCTTCATGAAATTTAGAATGTAGGTGGGGCTTGGGCCAGAATAGAACCCTATTGCTTTTGGAGATGATCGCCAAATGTTTAGGGGTTGAAATGGACCAATGTATCTAGAGTTTAGGGCGGGGAAGAAGCCTACTAATTTGGGTGGTCATCGGATAATATTTAGCGGGTAAAATAGACCATAACTTTTGTGTTGAAAAAGTCAAATTTTTTCATTAAACCGCGAATATTTTAAATCCCGGCGAAATCGCAAAGCCATGACAAGGTTACTTCGGATCTTTACATTGATGTTAACATCCAACAAATCGGATATATAGCGAAATATGTGCGATATATATGTCTATCAAAAAAGATATGCTTAAAAGATCTCTTATATGTCGAGAACGGCTGAACTGATTTCGACAGTTCTCATTAATTCAGAATGGCCTCTTGGCAGGAAAGAAAAAATGTCTAAAAAATCGCATAAAAATATCTCTCTAAAGATGAAAATATTGATTTTGTAAAATTTTCTCATATTTTTTTCAATTTTGTCATATTTTTGGCATATTTTTATTTTGAATTAAACATTTGGTAATATTTCTACAGCTAACAAAACTAAGTAGTTAGGATATCAGGATATCATATACAGATCGCATTTATGGCCCGATCCTTACGAAATTTTGCATGGGGATAAGATGAGGGTCAAATAGAAGCCTACACTTTTTGGAGATGATCGTCATATATTTAGGGGTTGAAATGGACCAAAAAACTGCAAAATTGTCTGCAGGTCATAATTATCGCCCGATCCTTACGCACATTTGAATGGGGGTTACCGGACATTGCAAAAGCCAAGCAGTTTTGGATGGTCATCCAAAAATATTCAATTTGTGAAATAGTTTGCCAACTTTTGTAGACAAAATACGAAAATATTCATTCCAGTGTCTTTTTGGAGAATTCAGAAATACAGGAAAGACGCACTTCTGACTATTTCGTTAAGGCTGATTTCGTTGAAGAATATAGTCAAATGTCTGTATCTCATATAGATACGTTTCAGTCAAAAACCAATAATAAATGTTAATCTTTTGCCACTTCTGAGAGGTTATAGGTCTTTGGGGAATATTGGTTCCAGATCTAGGAAGACCATTTACGTGCAACATCTACCAATAAATTGGAAATGAGCAACTTAACTATTTTTCGAAAATTAGAGAATGAAACGTGATGGTTTTCTTTTATTATTTGTCACAATATCTTGTGGAATTCTGTCGAGTATTTCGCCTATATAAACTGTATGGTTTATTATAGTGTTGTAGGGTATTCAACTGTCGGCCCCGCTCGACTGTAGCCTTTGCTTACTTGTTTTTACTTGTTGTATATATACATTGTATATATTTCGCTATATATATCCGATATTTTTACTCTCGGCATCTATGTAACGGTCAGAATTGACCTGTTTGTCTCTTTGTGATTTCGCCGGCATTAAAAATATTTGCGGTTATATGGAAATTTTTTTATTTTATTTTATACAAATGTTATGGTCCTTTTCACCCACTAAATATTACCCGATGTCCATCAAAATTGAAAGACTTCTGCCCAACCCAATGCTCTAGCCCCATGCTAACTTCCGCTTCGATTGGTCTATAATTGTGACCTGTAGAGCAACTGCAAAATCAGGAAATTTTTCAGTTTTTGGTCCATTTTGATCCATTTCTGACCTTAACCCCACCTACATTCTAAATTTCGTGAAGATCGGGCCATAATTGCGACCTGTAGAGTGATTACAAATTAACATGGACAGACGGACGGACGGACATACATAGCTAGATCGAATCAGCTCGGCGAGCTAGGAAGATCCATATATGCTTTCCTATATGGGAAACAAATATTACGAGGTGTTCCATAATTTTTGGCCCAATCAAACTTATAATATCCTCAACACATGGTATTGTAGGGTATACAAATTTGTAAAAATAATGACTGTTTTATTCCTGATTTAAACAAGCAAAGAGAAATCTGATTATATCCTCTATTAATGCTTCCAGCTCTTCAGTTCTTCCATGAATTCTTAAACTTGTTGAATGCTTAGCATTGTCTCTCACTATACCCTACACCACAAGGTGGTCAGGGTATTATGTCTTTGTACATTTGTTGGTAACAGGCAAGAGGAAACGAGATAGACCCATAATTCCTTTTGATGATCTGCATAGAATCACATTCTGAGTCGATTTATGCATGTCCGTCCGTCCGTCTGTCCGTCTGTCCGTCCGTCCGTCCGTCCGTCTTTCCATGTATTTTTGCAAACAAAGTACAGTTCGCATTTATTGACCTATCCAGATGAAATTTTGCACAAATAATTTGTTTGGCCCAAGGACGAACCCTATTGAAATTGGTCATAATCGTACAAAATTTAGATATAGCTCCCATATATATCTTCGTCCGATTTGCCTTTTATTGGGCACCAAACGTGTAATATCAGGCCGAATGGTATGGAATTTTGCACATACAACCAGATTAGGCCTGAAAATAAGTATGCCAAATTTTATCGAAATCGGTTCAGATATAGCTATAGCTCCCATATAATATATTGTTCATCCGATTTGTTATCTTTGTCCTCCGCAGCCGTAATAGGCACTCTGTTGTTATTTGGGGAAATATATCAAATACAACTCAGAAATACACTTGCAAAATTTTATCGAGATGGGTTCAGATTTGGATATAGCTCCCATATATAACTTCGTCCGATTTACTTTTTTAGTGTGCACCAAACGTCTTATATTTGCCCAAATTGGATGAAATTTGGCACATACGACCGAATTGAGTCTAGAAGCTAGTATGTCAAATTTGGTGAATATCGGTTCAGATATAGCTATAGCTCCCACATTTACTCTTCATCCGGTTTGTTATATTTGTTACCCACAGTCGTAATATGCACTCCGTAACAACGATTTTCAGGGAAATATATCAAATACAGCTCAGAAATATCTTTGCCAAATTTCATCGAAATCGGTTCAGATTTGGATGTAGCTCCCATATGTATACACTGGTGGCCAAAACTAAAGCAACTGAAATTAGAAGGAGAATGAATGCCCTGTAACTTTTTCAAAAATTAAGAAAATGAGAAAGTTTTTCTTGTTTTAAATCAGGTACTTTATTCACTTTAAAAAAAACTAAAACCTAAAGCCAAAATTCATTTTTATATAAAAAATAATGTTTGGTAAAGTCAATTAACCCGAGTTTGGCTTGGACAAAACAAAAGCAACTCTGTTGTACATTCATATGACCGCTGCAATTTCAGTTGTTTTTACTGTTATATTTATCGCTTTTTGCTTCCTTCGACAATTTCGCTTGTCATAAATCCTTTTTGAGAAGTTTTTTACAACAGTATGTGTTTTTCTATTCTTTTTTAAGTACTGCCCAAAAAAATTTTAAAAATGGCTAGAAGCAAATACAGTACCTGAATAAAACAGCAAATTATCAGTGACTGTCAAAACAACATATCACAGAAAATTATTTCCGAGAAATATTTCATAAATATTTATGTGATTTCATAATTATTTCTGTATACTAAGTCGGTTTTTTGAAACTGGATCAGTAGTAACAGTCTATAACGGATGAAGGCCGTGAAAAACTTCAGCCCATACTGATCCACAAATTGTGAGAGAAATAAAAAACAACTATTTAAGAGTTCAACTGGTTGGTGAGAGAGCAATCATTGGATATAAACTCGAGATCAGTGCATAGACGAGTAGTGGCAGATGGTCTGCATGCCCGTAAGACATCAAAAAACCATTTATATCTGAAAAAATCAAAAAGGCTTTCGGAAACGATAATATTAAGTGGAATCAAGCTCAATGGAAAAAACATTATTTCTGGGATGAGACTACGTTTAATATTAAAAGCTCAGACGTGAAAAATTTTACGGTGAGAAGACCAAAAAATGAAGGACTCAAGCCGCAGTGTTGCAAAGGTACAGTGAAGCATGAGGGAGGGTCAAAAATGGCGTGGCGCTGTTTTTCTTTCTATGGACTTGGGCCTATCCATAAAATAAAGGAAGTTGTGGATCGGTTTGTTTACAAAGATATGTTGGACATCACGTTGTTCCATTACGCTGAGTAAAATATTCGGCTGATTTGGGTGTTTCAGCATGACAATGATCCCAAACTTGTATCAAAACTTGTCAAATATTGGTTGAGGGAGTCAAAAATTCATGTTTTGTTATGGCCGGCACAATCACCTGACCTAAACTCCTTAGAAAACCTTTGGAGTATCGTAGATAGGAAGATCAAGAGAGATTCGGAAATAAATAAGCACAACATTTTCTAAAGAATTCGGGGTGCCTGGGAAAGCACACCCAAGGATCAAATTGAGCATGTTATATATTCAATGCCTCGTAGGTGTGCAGCTGCTATCAAAAATAATGGTTATGCTATCGGCTACTAGCCAAAATTTAATTATTTTAAAATAATAAATTAAAAGTTGCTTTAGTTTTGACCAAGCAAAAATTGGGTCATTTTAATTTTCCACATATTACTTTTCGTTCAAAATTATTTTTGTATTTTTATTTTTAGTTTCTTAAAAGTGAATTGAACCCCTCATTTAAAACTGGAAAAATAATTACGATTTGTTTGTTTTTGTAAAAGTTACAGGACATTTATTGTCTTTGCGATTTAAGTTGCTTTAGTTTTGGCCAAGAGTGTATATTTATCCGATTTCAAGTTAATTGTGCACCAAATATGATACGGTATATTCAGTCCTTTGAACTTTAAATTATAATCATAGCGTGTAGGATCTTTTAATTGTTATGCGGAGCTCTACTAAATTAGCAAAGCGGTGTGGGGTATCATAAAGTCGGCCCAGACCGACTTTTAAGTCTTTCTTTACTGTTTTTTTTTTTTTTGTTGCAATGATATATTAGATGCTAATGTATAAATTTGAACCACCCTTCACTTCTTGTTTTTGTTTATGTTTCGTTTATTTACTCACCTCTCCCATGGTGTTTGAATTTCAACACACCTCTGTTATGTTCGTGGTTTGATGTAAACGTTGTTGAAATGTCATGTCGCTGAGGTTGGGAACTTGGCTGAGCTTTAATGAAATAAAAGAAACATATTAGGCATTGATGGATATGTTAGGAAATATATGTGCCTAAAAGTATGCAATGATAGCTGCCTACTCAGAGACGTTGATGGTATTGGATGAGAGTATTCAGTTTCCACACAACTGAACTTCTAAGTAATTTACGGTTATAAAATATTTGTTGACCATTTTTGCATAAATACCTTAGCATACTTTAAGGCATAAATGAGATTGTGTGATTAACATTTTCACCACCCAATGTTAACTCACTTTTATCAACATTCCACTGGAATGCTAAACCTCTGTCGCTGTATTTGAGGTCACGTCTGTTAAGTTGTCGCTTGATTTCGTTGATTGTTTTGGCGCAATTTGGCTGTATTTGAATCTGAAGTACGGCAATTAGCAATGTTAAGTATTTAAGCGTTTTTATCATAGACGGTCTTAGCATTTTAAGCGTTTCTAAGCACTTTAATGGCAGCTTTAGGATCTTTGGTTTTATTGTTGTATTTTTGGTTGTTTGTTAATTATTTCTATAAAAGGTCACATTTAATTAAAGTTTTGCTCGTTTTTTTTTTCTATTTTAAGTAATTACGTTTTGTGACGTTTGTAGTGTTTTTGGTTTGGGTTTTGTACTCTAAACGTTTGTTGTTCTGTGTGCTGAAAGGGAAAACCGGTATGATTTGTTAAACAAAGTTAAGTACTCGTACATTTGAGTGATATATTTGAAACGGAAGCATTAAAATTTCGTAGATCAGTTGTGAAAGTGGAAAAATGTGTGAGGGACGGGCGAATGGAGTTGAGACATCATGGCAGTTTTCTTTGGAATATTTATTTACAGAGATCCTATTTTGACTATTTTAGGTACAATATTCATAGAAATTCTTTAAAATTTAGTATTAGAACTTTCTTTTACGGAATTACCACCTAAGACAGAAAATTGTCTCTGCAAGTCCAGGTCTTCTTATGGCCCCGATATAACGGTAGTTCTTCGCTATTTTGATGATTTTCAGCTACATTACTCACCGGGGGTTTTTCAAGTTTGATATCTGAATATCGTAATGGCCTATGACAAAAGTTGCCTATGCAGGTCCAGGTCTTCGTATAGATCCCAATATAAGAATTTTTAAAGGATTTTATTATTTTTTTTTAAAGTATTAAAATTCATTCCAAATGGTGGAGGGTATTCAAAGTTCGACACGGCTGAACTTACCGCTTTTTATACCCTCCACCTTGGAAAGGAGGGTATATTAATTTTGTCATTCCATTTGTAACATCCTTAAATATACGTCGTAGACCCCATAAAGTGTATATATTTATAATCAGCATAATATTCTAAGTCGATGTCCGTCTATCTGTCTGTCTGTCTGTCCGACTGTGTGTTGAAATCACGATACATCCCACATTATTTGACGTAGAGCGCCAAAATTTAGCAGAACAATTTGTATTGTGTCTAGGATGGTTGACATTGAAAATGAGATATATCGGTCCACGTTCTGGTATAGTCCCCATATAACGATACCTCCCAATATTCGGTGTTTTTATGCTTTTTGCCACATTTTTTCACTGATTTGTCTAAAAATTGGTATTTGTTGGTCATAATGGGTTCCAGCTCCGGTGGCGAAACATTGCGTGTATCGTTTCACGGTTTGGTATATTCCCTATATAACGGTATCTCCCGATATTCGGAATTTGGATGGTTTTTGCCACATGTTTTCACTGATTTGTCTAAAAATTAATATTTGTGGGTCATAATGGGTCCTAGTTGGTGTGGCGAGTCATTGTAATTATAGGTCCACGTTTTGGTATAGCCCCTATATAAAGGTACCTCCCGATATTCGGTAATTTGATGATTTTTGCCACATTTTTTCACGAATTTCTCTGAAAATTGGTAGTTGTAGATCATAATGGGTCCCAGTTCGTGTGGCGAGTCATTGTAATTATAGGTCCACGATTTGGTATAGCCCCATATAACGGTACCTCCCGATATTCGGTAATTTAATGGTTTTTGCCCGGCCGAACTTAATGTTGTTTTACTTGTTTACTTGCTATTTTTCATCAGAAACCCTATTCCCACCTCTATGCCCGGAAAATATTTTAACGTCATAATGTCATTGCGTAAACTACCGAAGAACAAACGTGTAACAAATTCAAATAAAATTGTGCGAATATTCATCATTACATACCCTGAGGCAAAAGAGCGCTCACACACCAACTCATATGTAAATATGTAAATGGATTTTTGAACATATTGTGGAAAGTGTATGAAAATATTTTATTTGTAAATAAATGCAGAAAATAACTTTTCTGGGAAAACAGCAATCATCGAGAGGAAGCTTCATTAATTGTTAGCGATTATGTAAATGTCAAATTTGCGATTCTAAATAAAAAGTAAATGTTCGAAGAAAATTTTGGCGAAGTGGAAACACTTTTATTTATTGGGAAATCATTACCAAAGACCTAAAATGGTAAAGACTAGACAAAAGGCATTCTGAGCAAATGGTTTGTGGCTATACTACCTTAAATAACAGTTCATGACAAAGGCATGTTAATATAAAAAACACAATTATATGAAAGAATGACAAATAAAAGTTTGGATAATCCAAAATATTAGTTTCAAAATTCTATTCCATATACCTTCCCAAATAATTGCATACTGCCTCGGCGGTTTAAATTGCTTAACATTGGTAACTATGTTGTTACGATATCATAACAACAGAGGTATTTTTCACAGGGTTGCCATATTTTAATCTGTCTTGTCCTATCTTTATACTTCTATGTCTTTGTCATTACCAAAGACATAGAAGTATAAAGATAGGACAAGACAGAGTAAAATATGGCAACCCTGTGAAAAATACCTCTGTTGTTATGATATCGTAACAACATAGTTACCAATGTTAAGCAATTTAAACCGCCGAGGCAGTATGCAATTATTTGGGAAGGTATATGGAATAGAATTTTGAAACTAATATTTTGGATTATCCAAACTTTTATTTGTCATTCTTTCATATAATTGTGTTTTTTATATTAACATGCCTTTGTCATGAACTGTTATTCAAGGTAGTATAGCCACAAACCATTTGCTCAGAGTGCATTTTGTCTAGTCTTTACCATTTTAGGTCTTTGTCATTACTCAAAGAAGGGATCGGCAATCTACATAAATAAAAGAGTAGAGCAATAACTGAATAATTGACATATAATTAAGGCTCAGTCGAAACGATTGAAGCTAGAATCTTGAAATTTTGCACGTGGGTCTGGCTGTGTAGGCATGTGATAAGGTCTTTTTTTTGGAAATTCGTACTAAAATGTACTCAAAATTGAATATTTTGTACAGAACAAATGGAAAAAGATAGAATTTTGAAATTCTGGAATGATCGTCGCTGATGGAGTGCTGGATATACAGAGATAAAAAACAGCAACAAACTCAAACGCCATAATTTTTACATTTTTTTTTTGTTAAATTTAATTGAATGAAAGCTAAAAATGTCGGAAATATCATACAATTTTAGAATAAATTTAGATTATGGCCTTCAAACGACCAATAAACCCGTCACACTCTGCCCGAATGTTCCTATAATTTTACTAAATGGTACTAAATTTGGAATCTAAATCTGAAATCCTGAAATTTGATACTAAAGTCTTCCTTGGCAACCCTTGGAATTGTGATCTAGTGATGGTTTTTGGAAATGTGTTCATTATTTTACGAAAAATACTAAATGGTACTAAATTTGGTATTGGGTCAGGGGATGGAGCTTGAATCCTAAAATATGATACTGAGGTCACTGTTGGTATCTGGTGTTGACATAAGGAGGTGTGTTTTGGAAATGTATACTATAAATTCTCTCTATTCATTCGGAACCTACACATATCATAACATAAGTCAAAATATATTTAAACAAGTAAGCAAAGGCAATAGTCGTGCGGAACCGACCATGTGATACCCTCCAACACTGCAATATGTTAGAAGCCCCCCTATTTTGGAAGATTTCGCTTTTGAAATATTTCACGGAGCACTGCCCAGATATTACCCTAAGCATTTTGACCGGGGATATTTGCCCAATATTTACGCACTCCGTCGAGTTGTTAGTTGTTGTGGTCCATTTTGCAGCTAAATATAATAGAAGAGTCATCTTCCCTGTCCTTAACACTCTTCTCAAGCGTGTCGATCGAAATATTTTGCGATTATCTCCAAATGCAAGAGGCCCCTCTGTATCTCCAAATTTATATATGATTTGCTTGTCTACGTTGTTTGGCTATATTAGTCAACGAAATCAGCATAAATGTATGTATGTACTTTTCCACCCAAACATAGTAGTCTATTCTACTCTAACTTATGCCAGATCGCGTATCCTCTGGTTTCTGTTTGTAACCTTTCCTACGGCAGCAAAATCAGGAACATTTATAGTAGACCCCTAAATATATTGCGGACATAGGCCAAGCCCTTCTAAGTCTAACCCTTCCTTTGCGAAAACTTTCGTGAGGATCGGCCGATAATTGCAATTTGTACATAATAAACCCAACCTGAGTTGTAAGGTGAAAAAATATTACCAAATATAGACTTGAATATTATAAGTCAAATTGAAAAAAATAGCATGAGATAAAAAATATGAAAAAATAAAAAATGCCACAAAAACCTACAAAATCTATATTAACATCGTTATTGGCACCTCTTTATGCGATTTTTTTAGATTTTATACTTTTTTTGCAAAGAGGGCATTCTGCATTGAAAATATTCGTCAAAATCGGTTCAGTCATTCTTGAGATATAAGCATTCCAGCTAACATACCCTTCCTTTGCATATTTCTTTTGGAGATGATCGCATAATATTTAAGGGTTGAAATGGATCAACAACTGAAATAATTCCTGATTTTGCAGTTGCTATACAGGTCGCAATTGTAGACCAATCAGAGAAGTTAGCATGGGGCAAGAGCTTAGTGCTGGACAGAAGCCTTCCAATTTTGATGGACATCGGATAATATTTAGTGGGTGGAATAGGCCACAACATTTGTGTTAAATACAAGTCAAATTTTCCATTAAACCGCGAATATTTCTAATTCCGGCGAAATCACAAATAGACGAACAGGTCAATTCTGACCGTTACGTAGATGCCGATAGTAAATATATCGGGCATATATAGCGAAATATATACAATGCGTATATACAAAGGAAGGGGATGTTAGTTAGAATGCTTATATCTCAAGAATGGCTGGACCGATTTTGACAAATTTTCTCAATTCAGAATGCCCTCTTGGCATAGAAATCGCAGAAAAATATACCAATAATAATGTTAATATAAGAATTGCAAATATCGTCCGACCCTCACGAATATTTTTACAAGGATAGGATTGGGCTCAGAAGGGCTAGGCCTATTGTTTTCAAAGATATCCGCAATATATTAGGGGTTGAAATGAGCCAACAACTAAAAATTTTCCTGATTTTGCAGCAGCTATAAAGGTCGTCAAATATAAACCAAGGGACATGAAATCTCGCATAAAGTTAGAGTTTAGCACAGCGGGTACCATGGACCACAATATTTGTGTGAAAAAATACCAACATTACTTAGTGGCGATATCCGAAATACACAAATGGCGAACTTCTGGCTTTTTTATGCCGATTTCGTTGACGAATATAGCCAAATATCGTAGCCAAGCAAATCATAT